ATAAAGAAGCCAAAAAATTTAAAAGGAAAGATTATTAACGAATAATTAATTTAACCAAAAGCTTAAAATATCAAAATAAAGTTCACATTCGGTGTTAAAATATTAGATATGAACAATGTTATATAACAATAATAAACGAAAACATTCCTAATAAAATGTTCTGCTTTCACTTTTATAAATAAAAATTTAGCTGGAAACTAAAATTGAGGCTCTGAAACACAGAATGTATTTAAAATTTAAAAATAAGGCGATCTTTCTTAGCAATCTAAGTTAATAGTCTAAACAAGACTATTAACTTAGTTGTTTATGTAGCATAACTTTGTTTCCGAAAAAATAGTCAAATATAGATATGCAACTATAGATAGAATATACTAATCATATAAAGAAGCCAAACAATTTAGAAGGAAATATTATTAACACAGAATTAATTTAACCAAAAAGCTTAAAATATCAAAATAAAGTTCACATTCGGTGTTAAAATATTAGATACTAACAATGTTATATAACAATACTAAACGAAAACATTCATAATAAAATGTTCTGTTTCCACTTATATAAATAAAAATTTAGCTGGAAACTAAAATTGAGGTTCTGAAACACAGAATACATTTAAAAATAAAGCGATCTTTCTTAGAAATCTAAGTTAATAGTCTAAACAAGATTATTTTAGTTGTTTATGTAATATAACTTTGTTTCTGAAAAAATAGTCAACTATAGATATGGAATGAAGTTTATTTTAGGAATCAAGAATTTGTAAAATAAATTATTTTTTTATTTGCGGTCAGAAAATTTAGGAATAATTGTTGAATAACTAGATTCAAATAACTAGGGATATTGCCAATAGAATTCATATGTTAGGCTTAGAGACTAAAATAGTAAACAGCTCATGTTTAAAGCAAATTTAAAGTGCATAGTATAAAAATTGTTCGACTCACCTTTGATAGAATTGTTCTTTCTAGTTATAATCCAGAAATGATCCTTTCCTAATCTTCTTTAAATAAATAAATCTAAATTAAAATCGGCCATGCTTTGAATCTCTCACATAAACGTAACAGAGCGATCGACTCTCTTTCTCCCTCCAAACCTACTCCCTGCTCGTGATGACTAATGCTACTGGTTTTCTTCAGTAATGAGCTAACGTTTACCACTAGCAGATAATCACCGATAACCATGCACGCCTCGCTACAGCCATCTATTTATTCGGATCCATCAGCCGTTTAGAGGGCGCTGCTCAGCATGCGCATGCGGTACGGGTATGAAATTCTAATCATTTGCATATTATGCTCTACTTGTCATTTCTTGAAAATTTCAGCTCACTCGCGTAAATCCTTCATGGTGTTGCAATTTTCACAAACATGAGTTTAAATGAAATATTATTCATATTTAATTTTAAGTCTGATAATTTTTCTAATAACATTCCAACAATAGCTCAAAGTGTGACAAATTCTAATTCACTTGCATTCTCTGACATTAAGTTGCCCCCACTCTCAGTGCTAACCCTTAATGGTAAAATTGACAACTGTATTCTGTTTAAAGATATGTTTGAAGCCAGTGTAATAAAGAACAGTTCCGTTTTTAAATTCCATTAAATTAAAATATTTTACGTATTGGTCGTTTGATTATTTTGTTTGGTCAAATATGCTTTCCCACCTTAATAATTATAAACTCACCAATTTGAGCCAATTTAAAAATGTAATTCAAAATAAGTGATAGGAAGTATCAATGAAAGCCATATGTACTGCCTGTGATAGGTTTGAAAAAAGACTTAAGCTTATAAAGAAAGTAAATGTGGTATAATTCCAAAGAATAAATTGTAAAGATACTTAATGAATACTACTTTATTTTAATACAAAAATTTTGTACGTGATTTGTTTTGTATTATTGTAATTAAAATTTAAAAGTGTATGTTGAGTCTCTCTCTCTCTCTCTCTCTCTTTATATATATATTGTAGNATGTTTCAGCTATTTTTCTACATAGCTACCACCAGAATTGAAGCACTTGTCGCATCGTGGGATCAACTTTTGTATCCGTCTGTCGCAGAACTCTGTCGCCTGTGAATGGAACCAGCGTGTGCCGAAAAAACTGACACCCGAACACAAAATTCAACGCTTAGGACTCTGTCGTGACCTTCGAGACTAGAGGAGGCCAGCTTACTAGTTCAATGAGTCATCACGAGGAGGGAAAGAGCTTCAGCGGTGAAAGAGAAGAAATACTTCTCTAGTCGACGATTTTTCGCATAACTAGATTCTTTTCATGTTAATATTTCAGCAACTATATTATAGTAAAAAAATGATATTATAGGCGATTCATCGAATTTTAACCAAATTTTTGTAATATTCTTTATTTTACAAATTATGTTCGAGACAAAAGTAGAGCCTTATTTTGTGTTTCATAAAAGTTATCACGAATAACAAATATAGAAATAACAAGAAATTGCTTTGATTAATTAATCTTTCTATTGCTTGGTTTTATTAAAAATATGACTATATTTTTGGCATTCTTTTAACACCATAACTTTTATTAGAAACAAAATTTTACTCTTAAAATCACGCGTTAGATAGCAGAACTGTTTTCAACTTTTGTAATCAAATTTACAATGATTATCAAGAAAAAAGTTGTTAGATTTAGTGAAACCTTTTATATTTTTTTCTCGATTAAATAGAACCATATTGTATGGAACAAAATTGTTCAATTATAATTTGATAAATTTATTTGAACATAATAAAAAAGGAACTAAAACATTTTTTTACAAAACAATTTTATTGGTCAATCACAACATACAAAGCAAATAAAAAAGATTAAGGCCCACATTTAATAAATACTTTAAACAAATGTTTTTGTAATACTTTTACAAAAATATTTCAAACAAGCAAAAGACACTGCACTGACAATAATGCAATAAATGGAATATTTAGGATTTAGTTTTATCTACATAAAAATTTTTGAAAAATAATTTTTTACCATAAATCTCTTTTTTTAATAAAGAAATTGAATATATACATGCATAAAAACTTTTGTTTACATTCAAGAAATACCTGAAATGGAAAACTTATAAAAAATATTTTCTAAAATTAAAAAATTGGGTGAAAAGTACTCTTTTTTTAAAAATTATAATAAATGGCTAATAAATAAAATCCTACTGATGTAGTAATCACTAATAAATCTGATGACACTGCATAGAAAAAGAAAAATAGCCGAAGCTTGAAAAAATGTTTATTTAGCAGATTTCATAAATTTAAATTGTATGAATTTTAAAAAATTTAAATTGCATGCATTTAATATACAAATTAATTTTTAAAACCTTTTAAATTTAGTAAAAAAATTATTTTTTTTCTTCAGAAAACCATTGAGCCTAAAAAATGAAATTTATTCAAATTTTTATTTATTTATTTGTCTGAACATTAATTTTAGTTTTCTTAGAAGAATTAGCAGAAGTATCACTAGTTAAAGTTTTTAATTTTCGTTTTCCTTCCGCCTTGTCTGTCTTTTTGGTACTGGCTTTGGACTTTTTTGCTTGGTGTACATCATTTTTAAGTTTACAGTAATTGTTAAGTAAAGTATTTGTTGCTGACCTCATTATTTTAATACAAATTTTTTCAAAATTAAGCCCACAGCTGCATACTGAAAAATCCCATATTTCTTTTAACAATAAGATATCTTTAACTATCTTCATAACCAAATTGCGTTGATTCAAAACTTTTAAAAATTGAAGCTCATATTCCTCACTTATCAACTTTTGGGTTACAACATAAATATGTAGAACAACATTTGTTACAAATTCTGACGGATAAAGTAACCCACCTCTATCACAATTTCTTTATAAGATTGCAATTAACGTCAATATTCATTTCTTTATCTGTTACTAATCTTTTCTTACACTCTAGACATTTTAGACTTTTATGAACTGTATGAACACAATACCCTGCCAAATATGTTATTATAGGTAGAGAATGGGCTACTTTATCTAAATCAGAATCTGTAACTTCAATCTCTTCAAATAATTCCTCTACGTCTTCATTAATATCATCTACTGTATCAGAGTCAGAATGGAATATATTAATGCTAAAACTGCCAGAAGTATGGGATACAAGTTTCAGTTCCTTACTAATGCGAAGCTTACTTTCAGTTTCATAAAGCTGCCTAATGGATATATGATACTGGTCGCCAGCCATACTTCGGTACAGACCGAACCGAGATTCAAGCCTGTCGGTTTGAATTTTTCCTAGCAACAAATAGGACAAACCAAAATTACTAGAGCAATACTCCATTATATCTAGATAAGCTTGAGACGTGTGTCTTAATGCCGAATGAGTTTCTCTACTTAGTTTTCCATTATCAGCATTCATCGCCTCCCACCTATTCAACCAATCAATAAATTTACTCAAAAATGCCTTTCTAATGTCATCAGATTTATTAGTGATTGGTTCACACATAACGTTTCGTTTAAATTTGCCCTTAGCAACAGATTTAACATTTGCTATATCCCACCAATCACAAAATATATTAATGTAATTTGCAGTTTCTTTATAATGCATGAGTTCATGCTTCTCACCCAACTCTAGAATTCCTTGTACAAGATTTCTATTAAAAATTTTTAGTGCAAGAGAAACACTTTGCCGTTCCAGGTTTGTCGGCCAAAGAGCTTTTCTGGTGAGGCCTAAACCAAACTTCAACAATTCAGTCGATTCAATATCATATATCTTTCTTAAAACACTGAGGGATGCAGTCTGAAATTTCTCATCGTTTTCAAATGAAGGATAATACATAAAATAACCATTTTTCTGGTTAAACCAATTATTTCTCTGCGCTTTGATGATATGCACAGAGTCTATAACAAAAAATAATAACCTTGAATCATCTGCTGGATGCGAATACTTAGTTTTAAATGCAGGCGGATTACTAAAGTTAGACATGGCTTTACGATTTATTGAATTATTGTCAGTGACGACGCCAACAATAGTGAACCCAATGTTTTCTAAACCCAAAACTATCTTTTTAATCAATTCAAAAAGATGTGCAGCCACAATATGACTCACTGGAAATACATGTACAACATCTCTAAATGAAGAGCAAATGCTACTTATCATGAAAACATGTGCACTTGTGGCTAACTATCAGTATTGTAACTATCAGTTGTGGCTCAGTATTATCATATGAATTGCCTACAATATTTCCCCCTTTGTAATCCACATAGGGCTTTAGATATATCTCATCCAGCATTAAAAAAACTTTTAAATCTTCATCATTCAATTTGGAAAATATTTGTTTAGCATACATAAGAAAATATTTGTCTTGTTGTTCAAAATTTGGGGTGGATTTTAGCAGCGAGCTAACTTTTCTGATAGTACTAGGGTCTGGTAAAATTAAATTACTAGAATGTCTAACAAATTTATAAGCCTGGGGAGATAAGTAATAGAAAAGAGATGAAAATATTAAAATATCAGGAGAATAACGGTATCTAACAGGTGTTACTTTAAGGAGTTTGATTTGTTCAATAAAAAATTCAATAAAATATTTAAATTTATCATCAACAAGATTTAGGCAATTTTTTAAGGCTGATATTATTACATCTATATTTTCTTCTAGGGAGTTATTGATTACATTTTCAGACTCTAGATGATTTAAAACATTAATAACTTCATTAAAGTTGCTTACTTTTAAAGGTAACTTTGCTTCGCCACACTTAGTTAAACATTGGTTTTTATATGAAATATTAAGTTCCAGAGAACTATTGATGAATACAGTATATGCAATGATAGGCACTCCTTCTTTAAAGTTTAATTTTAAAAAAAATAAATTTTCATCCTTCTCTATCATTCTCCAAGCTGCGGGAACATTATTGATTCCAAAACAGTTTTTCATTTCAAAAAAGTCTTTAAAGCCATACTTCTTTTCAAACTCACATTGGCTTTTCAAACTGTCAGCTAAAGCTTTGTTTACCTGCTGTTGCTCTAATAGTTGCTTCTTTAAAATAGGATCAATCCGATCTTTGTTAGTTGATGATAAATATTTCGGACAATTGGGAAAAATTGAAGGCACTGCTCCATCTTTTAATCGTGGATATTTCAATTTAGCTCTGAGGGTTTCTCCCGTAGATTCCTTGTAGAACGTTGTTTCAAACTCAATATCGTCTGACTGAAAGTGTCTTTCACAGACCTGAAATAGAATATTTTATTCGAAAATTACATTGACGATTTTTATATAGACATTCACAATAAGACAGGAATATTATAGATAACACCAATTCATATTCATCTAATCTCTAATAACTTATTGAAAGAAGTATAATTTAGAAATATAACTTATTGAAAAAAAATATGTAATTATTTTCATAAATAAACAAAGTATGCTTAAAACTTATTAAAATGATGAAAATAATATTTTTTCCACTATACACATCTTGATATAATGAATTGTTAGATTATTTAAATATGCATGCAATTTTTTATTTTCTTTTGATGAACAATATTCTTAAAAGAAAAAAATTATCTATCAAATCATTCGTATTACTGAGTATATATACTACAAACAAATTATTTTAAACTAACTAATTTTATTTATATCTTCGCATGATTCCTTTAATTTTTCTCATATTCTTTAAAAAAAATTATTCATGTATTATGGTAAAAAAATTTCATTTCTTATTTTCTGATTATATTATACAGGGTTCCCACTCAATCTTTTAAAAAAAATTCAAGGACTTTTTAATGACTTTCAAGGACCTAAAATCAAATTTTTCAAGAACCTATTCCATATTATTGTTATACGCTAAAGTACATGTCAACCAGATTTTACAATTACGTAGAAGCAGAAATTGTATATTTTTAAATCATAATGCTTATTTGACAACAACAAAAATTATTTATTAAATTTATCAGCTAATAATATGAATGGTTGATAGTTACATTGCTGTTTCAAAATATTTTAAAAAATTCCAATTGACCAAAAAAAAGAAAAAAAATCCAATTGACACAGGATACTAACCAACATTTAAAACTAGCATCAGTGAAACTTCATGACAAATGAATTAGAATTAATGAAACTGAATGAATGAGTAATGCATATTACATTAAACAAGAAGCATAGTAAATGATTGATAAAGTTTGTGTATTTGTACGGTTTTTAATGTTAACGGACAGCTTAAAATGTTTTCTTTCGTTTTTTGTTCTATCTTTTGGAACAAAATTATTCTTTATTTTCTTACCTCAATTTTAAATTCGAAATAGCTATACAATATTCACAAAATCGTATGTAACTTCAATTATATAGAAATAAATCATCAAAGAATAGCCTGATTGTTAACCTATTTGCCCAACCACACTTAATTAAAAAAAAAGAAGTGCAAAGTGGAGCATTTTAAAAACTTTCATTGATATCAATATATGCCTAGGTAACTATGTACATTTTTCCAAATAAAAAAAATGGTTATAGTATTTTCTTTGTCTACACCATAATTAAATTTAATATAACATACATTTGTAAGACTGCATATAAAATTAATGGGCAAATTTTAGTAAATAATTTAACTTTAAAGCCAGACTACATACATTAAATTATTTGCATTGAGTAAAGCTAGTAAAAAATATGAATAGATTTTTAATTTAAGTAAGAATTATAAAAAGTAACTTACCTTAGTATTTTTAGTCACAATTAGGTTAGTTCTTGGTATTGCTTTAACCCATTTTTTAAGTAACTCTTC